TGCGATCAAGGATTTGTTCTTTCTTTCCTGACAAATTTTCAGGTACACATCCGGAGATAGCTACATCCAAGAAAATCCTTGACCCGGTGCGGTGCCCCTTGAGGAGTGGAAACTGTATCTGCACATATCGCCGAAATCACCGAGCGAGTGATGACATGAATCTCAATGCGGTAACACCAATGTTGATGCTGCAGATGAATGGCTCAAAATTCACACCTATATTTACATCCTACTTCAGCTGCGCCTTTCTGCATATCCTTTTGTGTCTTCTGCTAACTTTGCCCATATACTAGCAATATTATCTGACTGTTCAACCTGCACATTGACAAAATGCAAGGATGTCAATTTAGTTCGCTTTGGCAACGACCAAATTATTGGTACTGTGAAATGCAATGTTTATTTTCAAAGAGTTGTAGAGAGCTCGTAGGTGTTGAAAACAAGACAGTGTCCCAACAATAAGCTCTATGCACCTGCTGGTATTATATAATTTTGAGTTTCACACAACGCCATCTAGGTTGCCTGATGTGAACTTTAGAAATTTATTTATTCACGGCGTTGGAAAGCTAAAGTAGTTTCCATGCGCGATGAACTTTTTCTTGGCCAAAAAGGCGACAGACATAGACTGCCAATGCGCTACAGTGGACCAAAATACATTTCAGATGTTATCTATACTATCCAATCAAACGCTACTTCGCTATCCATACATACAGAACAAGTTATGTCTTCCAAAACGATGTCATACACAGTGTAGATTTTCACATCACTACCAAATTACCATGAAGCATAAATGTTTGACATATGGACATTGGTTTGCTCCTCTTAATCAGAGTTTATCCTTTCCTTTTGCTATAGAGAAATAAACACAACAAACAACAATATACCATATCATTTATATTTTACAGTCTATACCATGTACTCCTACAAACTAAGAACACTACGGGGGCTTTGCTGGTTCGAGATAGTTGCAATTGGACACCCCTACCAGTCTCTAGGTCGACATGGTTTCTACTTTCTGCAAGCCTTGGAAGTGTTTCTTTATGTGTTGCTCAAGCTCTAGGTAACCAACGAGCAGAAACATGAAAAAGGAACATGCTTCACATGCTCTTAGGTCGATATAACGATGCAAGATAAGAAAGGTGAGACTGCAAACCACGTGACATATGTGGTAAGCAATTCAAACTAATCCAAAAAAAAAGGTGAGACTGCAAACATCAAGTGGACCGACAACTCACTTCTGCTTCATGCATACAAATATACAATCCAAAGTTGTGCAGCACAAAATTCACACAGCCATGGTCACCACATACCAATTTCCAAGTGTTCATTTTGCACTTTTGCAGAAAAGCGACCAACTGTGCAGTAGGCCAGTAGCCACAGTGGGCATCATTACTAACTTCTGCTTTCAAACTGGGCAATACTATGCAATGGTATTGGGTAACATTTTGGGTTAATATGGGATACTGAATTTAAAAATAATGGGGCTATGAAGATATATTTACAGCAAATCGCAATAGGTAATACGGTAGACAGATACTCAACCGATGTATTTATCTTTTGATTTTGCATTACAAAAATTCAAAGGATCGTACAACCGGCAACCAAAATAATGATTCAGAATTGAAGTTTGAAATTTATACCTGACTTGTTACAAAGCCTTTCATCATCTCCACCAAATCCTGGCGTATCTCTTTATTAAATCTCTTAATTTCATTCATGTTGTTTTCCTGCATTAGAGAAGCTTATTTCAGAGAAACCCCAAATAGTCCATGCCAAACAACAAAATGGGAACTTAAAATCAACAGCATAGTCATGTCCCAAGTGTTACCAAAATTCTAACATGTGGTTTGATAACCTACAAGCTACAGAGGGATGCGGCACTTCCCACACCAAGAAAGAAAAAAGAAAAGAGAAACATGAAGCACTTTACTTGACTTGAAAGAGAGTGTTTTATTACATAGACGTGCCTCGTAATATTTCTCAGTCAACTCAAAACATGCTATCTGGGTTGAACGACAGGCTTAAAGACTCTCTAATATTGTCAACACAAACAAATCCCACAGGACAAATACAGCCTACATATTCAAGTTTATGTACTGACTTACTGAGAGAAACCTGTCCCAGTAGGTCAATACATAACGTAGTATATCTCAGTCATACCTGGCATTGTCATCATTTAAATAGTAGGAATCTGTCTTGAAAACTAATGGTCAATCCGTATGTACTATATAGAGACTTCAGTTACTTCACTGACAGTTAATGTACTCGGAATACTTTCCACAACTCATATAACCATACTGAACTAATGATCTTGACTCGTGAATTTTTAGCAAAACAAATATCCGCCTGCTGCAGCAAAAGAAGCTACAAGTTCGTTCCAACTTCTGAGAGCTTAACTCGGACATAATTTTTTTAGCGTGCATAACACTGTTTGCTAATAATAGTACACCTCAGACATCACTATAGTAAATTAATAACATTAGTTCAGACTGACTGACAAAGTCAAACGATGCATATATACGGAGTTCGTTATAGTGTTCATGACATTTAACTAGTGCCAGGTAACGTTTTGAAGTTCGGTGTTTTTATTTTGATTTTGGCTGATAGTTTTCGATAAAATGTAAACTGCAGTATGAAGCTATTGCTCTCCCCAAATACTTAATTGTGCTTGTGTAACCATTGCAAGAATATTAACCATAAACTAGGAAACATTGTCATCTGACCTTATGGCATAACAACCTTGAATTGTGCAATTTAAAAATAAATAGCAACTCATATCTCAGAATGCCACTATCAAGTCCAACACGCACGTTGTACTCTTAATTCAAAGGTTTAGGTGATTTACCTTGATAAGTTCATACTCTTTGCGTGCATGACTTTTCGCGTCTTCTGATGTTCTTATTGTTTCTTTCAGTTCTTCAACCTTCTGATACCTCGTCCTCTCCTGATCTATTCCTCTTGATGACACAGATTCAAGTTTCGCCACCCGGTTGTGCAAAGCAAATAAGTCAGATGATAGACTTTGGATATGAAGCAAAGCATTAGAGCGATCAGTAAATGCATTGTGAACAGAAGTCATCGTCTCCAGGTATTTATGGATAGTGTCCTGTAAAAAAGCATAAACACCGTTACAGATCAAGGAACAAAAATAATCAAGAAGATCTGTATGACTGTATCCAAGATAATGTTACTCTCATTCCAACTTCCCACATACCAGATGTTTCACAATTTCAGCATCCAGTTTTGTCTGAGACCTGCTGACTTTGACAACAGCATTTGCAAAATTGTTAATATTAATAGCTCGAGTTCTGTGAGAACTGCATGTAGATTGGTCCTTTTCAAACTTTGCCAGCTTAACGAATGTCATTCCCAAGTGAGCTGTAGTTGTTCTAAAATCCTCATGAGCTTTAGCAAACGCCTCTGCCTACAAATTATGTAGAAGAATAGACTTAGCTGGTGTTCTTTTGTACACTGCCGCATGGTACCGGAAACCTGATATGATATTAATTTCTTGATCAAGTTGCAAAATGCAAATGTAGTACATGTACTTAACAAGCATGCATAATTTAATTCCTACATTTGGGTACATGTTAATGTAGTACATGTTGCCTCTGTCAAAACTACACTAATTATGCATAAGAAATTAAGAGTAACCATCAGAATGAGAGTAACATGAGTGCTCTAAAAAACCAGACAACAACAACACACACAGCTACCTGCTGAGATGTCGCTGCGAGTTGCTGCTCCAGTTGCTCGAGCTTGGCCTTGTGGAAGAGGAACTTTGCGTCAGTCTCCTCCTCCACTGGAGGCGGCCTCACCGCCATCAACCCATTCGCAACCGTCTGCTTCAGGTCCTTGAACATACCAAAAAAGTCTCGCCCGCCCTTTGTAGGCGTCGTTGGTGTGGTAACAGCCG